ATTCCTGCTTCCATCTTACAGCTTGCACCTCAAAAAATCAAGGTTCAATCATAAAGTGAAATTTCAGTGACAGAACCTCTCTAAAAAAAGGATCCACAATGATTCAAGACATAACCAGCTTTCAGTCAATATATTTCAGTATAACTGCCTGCAATCCCCTTTCCTGGGACTGCAGGCAGTTCTACTGTAGAACATTTAAAACAAAAAAGGCACCACCCGCCCCCAAGAACTATGCTTTTAAACCTGCTAAAATATAAGTGTTTATGATCTTTAAAAGGACATATTAGAACTTACATAATTTTCACCAAATAAGTCCATTTTTCAGTAAAGTAAGCATTCTTATACTCTGAGGTGACATGTACCACTTTTAATAAAAGGAAATCAAAACCAAAACAAAGCCTTTATTCTCAAAAAGGTAAAAGGTAAACACTACAATTACAGATGACATCAAAAGCAGAAGTGTTCATTTAAACAGTTGAACACTAACACATATGCTTTCAAATAATCCCTGATCATTTCAATTTTTGTATCTTGCTGGCAAAAATGGTTAAAATTGATGTGTTCAAAAATAAATGTCCATTAATAAATGAACTATCTGGAGATAGTGGAGTATCCTCTGGAGAGAGGGATGACAAACATTTCTGGAAGTAGAATCATACCAAAACCATACCACGCATACCCCAAGAGGGATGCTATATAACTATTCTCATTAATACTTGCAAATATTTTTGTTTTGCCAAATACAGAACACCTTATACTTTTTTTGGTGTGTGCTTCTGACATTTTTCTTTCTTTCTCTTATGGAACACTTTGTATTCCAATTAAGTCAACAAAGGCTTCTAGCCAGAAGTTGTATGAGAATAAAAATGGCTTCCAAAAGTTTCCGTTATGCAACAGAACAGATTTCTTGCGTGGTTAAGCTTTATTTTACTCTCATGTAGAAGCGAGTCGAGATACCGGGGATCTCAACTAATGAAGTGAGTGTAAAATAATAAAAATGAGGAATGTCTCTTTTTTTCCTAATAGCCACTAGACTGACAGAATTTCATTTCAAAGGTATAATACTCAATTGCAGTCAGCAGGTGAGATCCCATAGAAAAAAAAGTAATTCTGAAAATGGTCAGGTCTCCTATACAGACCACAAAGCTTGCTTTTGTCTTTACTCCAGCTGGCCATGAGCCAGGCACCAATGGTGAGCAGCAGCAGATACATTCTTGAAGATATTATAGAACAATCAATAAATTACATTATAAAAGTCGTGACAGGTACCCTAAAATGTCTACTTTAATATACCCTTTGCTTTCCTGAAGAAATCCTATTTGTCTAATCCATGTCGACATGCACTAACTGTTCAACACATGGATGGAAAATGCCAGAAATGGCTTATAAACTTTTATTCACATCCAAACTCAAAGCATCTTCTGGAGGTGCTTTCACACCAAACTTACGGGTATGAGAAGTCTGTCTCAGAGCAAACTCAGAAGTAACTAGAAGTAGTCCCCCTGCTCTGCTATCCTGAACCAGCCAGTCATTTACTATGTCACTGGTTAGGGGACTGTCAGCCTTGCCTTTTAATGTTTTTCAGTATGTTTAGTCACTTGTTCTTCAGGCATAACGCCAGAACAGCCCTCCATCCATCATGCAATACAGAGAGATACTTCTTTCTGATGTTTGCATAAAAGCAGATGCTGTTCCAAACAAATTCTCTGTATTTCACGCTGAAAAATGTCAATATCCAAGATTGTGCCACCACCACAGAAGACTGTGCACATTTCTGCTTTCAAATAAGTACATGTGTACCTTCATATAACTGTTGAAGTATTTTACATGTTAGAGATATTTTTAAGAATAAGTATGTGCTGTCTCTGCATAAGCAGCTATGCTGAAGACACAAACTGGATAACTGTGTTTCATCCTCAAGAACAGATCAGAGCCAAAAAAAAAAAAATAAATAAAAATCAGTAATCTTGAACCTGTTCTGAACCAAAGCAAAACACCTGCAATCCCATCTCAGTGTATCCTCCTTCAGAGACCAAAAGTGAAAAAGGGAATATTCAGTGCCAAAAAGTTGTCGTTCGAGAAGCCATAAGCAGACCTCTGTTAGCTCCAAGATGTAATAGCCCAAGTCTGAATATAACACAGGGATCCTCAGGTGATGCTAATGAAGACAGTAAAATCCAAATCTGTTTTCATGTCTATCAACTACTACACTGTATTACTAGAAATCAAGGCTAGCAAAGTGAACGGGACAAGATAACTGTTTCATAAATACAGAACAATTAGACTGAAGGAGAAGAACAGGAAAGTAAAAAACAAGAAAAGTTTCAAGGAAACTAAGGAAAATCAGTAAAAGAATCTTCACTTTAACAGTGATGTACACATACAATTTAAGACGTGAAAACTGTTTTTCAAATTGCTGAGAACATACTACGCTGACCTGACAGTATGAAATGAGATATGCATCATCTCCACTATTATGTTCTGAATTTGACAGACTGTATCTGAAAAACAATCATCCCCTGACTGACCTCCCAAAACCGATCTTATCAAACTTGGGCAAGAAATTAGCCTTAAATTCCATTTTGTAGAAATCAAAACTAACTCCTTAACTATTTAGCACAACGAAGTCCAGAACAGGTTGCAGTTGGTTTGTGTACTTTTTTATTTTTTTTTTCCAATATAAGAACTCTTTAATAAACAAGTTTTGGGTTATTTTTCAGCTGATATTATAAAGGCAATTAAAGTGTGGGGTGGTTTTTGTTTGGTTGGGTTTTTTCAAAGATCCTTTCATTAGGAAACAAACATAACAAAAAACCAACCCAACCAAATGAGTAAGTATCATATTATGAAAACGTATGTCCCGATATAAGATGACCTAAATTAAGGTGTTCCACACAAAAGAAAACGTATGAATGCAGACTGCAGAATCAAATCTACTTCTGTTCACTTATTTATCTCTACATTTGGAATGAAAGTTACCATACCTGGGCCAGGGCTATGAAGACCCTGTTATGAAGACAACAGTCTAAATGCAGATTATGGTAGTTATCAGATGCACATTCAACAAAAGAACCCATTAGAATGTCAGCCCTATTATGCTGTCTTCAAAGTACTGCAAGAGGTGATAGTCAATGCATGTTTACTTGATCTTCACGATATATATACTGCTCTAAAATTCTGACAGAAGTCTGACAATACAATGAAAAGTAAAAGATGAATATTCATAATGAAGTTCATGAATGATCAGGCATGAGAAGCAGGAACAAAGAAGGCCTTCAACGCTATTTTCAGTCTCAGAATGTTAAAAAAGCTGAGAAAAAAGTCTATGAATCAAATAAATAGAATTTAAGTACACCTGTCCAACCTTAAATACATAGTTTTACTGATTTGGAGTTCTCTCATTCAATTAGTTCAGTGATATGGAGGCCAATTTTAAATAAGAAACTACTATTATGAACATGACGCAAGTGCGGAATCCCATAAACCACGCTGTGAGACTCTCTATATGAGCTCAGGGTTTCTCAAAGGAGAATTTAAACTTAAAACCCAAAACACGAAACAGTGACTTACGTGCCCTCACAGCATCATGACACACAGTTGTCTTCTAAATATTCTCTTATGTGAACACAAGCAGGTTTCAAACAGTTTAGATGAAGAAAACACTTGTTTAAGTTTTGATAGTGGAACTACATTTTGTCAAAAGACAATATACATTAAATAATAATTGATGGCCAACATGTCATGCCATTTATGATACAATGCAATGTTATACTGTTTGCAGCAACTGCAGGAAAGTGGACAGGAATGAAAGTTTTTATAATAATGTTGCAAAGTTTAAAATTTTGCAATGGGATATTTCAGGTAGAATAATTACTATTTATTTTAAATGATGGTCACAACAAATTTAATAGTCCTCAAGCACACTACTTGTCCCTGTTTTACAGCTGCTTACCTTGCAGAAGCCAGAAAGTAGAAACTAACTGGTGAAAATATTAGAATCTAAATAAAAGTATGGTTTCAAGAACTTCCTGCATGAAATAACCTAAAGACACAAATTTTGAAAAAGAAACATAAAAATCCCTTAAATTATCACTTTCTTTTATTTTCCCCAGAATTCAAAGCATTTGATGTTATTTTGCAGCCACTGGGCTTTCAAAAGTCTAGAATGTAAAGTTCAGTAAGAAAATCTCAAATAAAAGAAGTCCACTTCAGTATTAGAAAGATGTTTCTAACCCTACAAAATACTTCATGTGAATTTGGTGTCAACTGCTGACTTAGATGTTAAATGAGGATACCCATTCGCACCCAGATTACTGCTGTAAGTTCTAATCAAACCAAAGACTAGGTAAAAATCCTTACTTCAAAGATTTTGTATTTGTATGTGTGTGTACGTGCAAGTCATGCAAAACTGCTGAAGAAACAATCAACATGCATTAACTTGATTTTCATTTGTTAGATGTTACAAAGTAAATTCAAATCTTACTACAGAATTCTTCACAAAATGTTATATTTTAATTATGACTTAATTTAGTTAGTACATATTTGCAGAATTTTTCAAAAGAAGGAAATTTTTTTTAACTAAATATCACCAGAAACTGTTGTAATATACTTTCAAAATAAAACCACTGCAATCAAAGGAGCTTCTCTACAGTGATAGTGACTAAGCAACACTTTGTCCACTAAGAGCTTTGTATAGCTGATGACGTAAGTTACAATAGCACTTTTACCAGGTATTTTAATATTAAAGTTTGGTTTAACTTAAATAGTTCAACCAGAGTAAAGAGGTATCAATCAAAATGCGGTAATCGCACAGAAAAGTGAAGGGCACCATAAAATAAAGATTATATCCTAAACAAAGGCACAAAAAAGCTGTATTTACATCACCAGCATTTTTTATTCTCATTGCCTTAGATTGTAAAAATAATTACAAGCCCATAAATAGCAATTATAGCTTGATTCAAGCTCATGTTAAAAAACAATAAAAACCAACAAAACCCCCACTCACAACAGTACTATAGTATTAGAAATAAGAAATAAAGTATAAATGTAAAATTATAAATATAAAAGATAAAGTTTAAATCTTTCAGAAAACTTCTCAGAGTAGGAATATCCTTAAAATGCAAGTTCATTACTTTTATGCTCACATTTAAAAGCATTTAGCTCTCTTTACCTCTTCAACCTTAAATTTGTACGTGTTTTTAACATCTCATCTAGGAAAAGGCCGTCAAAGGTTTTGACATATTCACATTCAGCAGGTAGAAAGTTAAAGTTGGTTGCCCCCGTTACAGAAAACAATGTGTAATGAAGAAAAAAAAAAAAACAAAAGCAAAACTTGTGAGAAAAAATGTCTTCTATATAAATAGGCAAAAAAAGTGTTGCATTACAAGATTCAGAATCTGCACTTACTCTTTACCCCTTTCTTCCCCTTTCGTTCCTTCTTGTACTGTTCCTTCAGTTTACTTATTAGTCCCTGGTCTACATCCCAAACCTCAGCAGTTGGGGACAGGTCATCTTTGTCTACATGCAGCATATTATTAAAAGAAAAAAAATCAGCAATTGGCAATGCAAGCTGTTGGTGATTTACTATCATAGCTGTATAAGAGCATTAATAAAAGTTCTTAATAATCTTTAAAGGTGCAGTCTCAGTTTTAAGTTTACAAAATACTAAGTCTCATTTCATACAGTTTTCCAAGGCACTGTATAATATCAGTTACATCTTTGAAAATTGTATGTTAATTTGTTACTAAGGAGCAAACAAATTAGGCTTCATAAGTAATTCTTTATGTTAAATACTTCAAGATACACAAAAATTCATTGGTGTTCAGAAACGATTACTGCATCTTTAGAAAGACAGCGTTAAGAAATTATTCAGCCAGTGTTGAATAAGCAAATAAAAGTATTCATGCTATATCTCTCATGAAAAAGCAAGCTGAGTAAGTCAGTGCCAGTTTATTCATGAAGACCACCATGCATCCTCTCGCACTCATTCTACATGCACAAAAAGAAACCTTGGTCTTGCATATAACCAAACAAGTCTATAAATACAGTTTTTTACATAAAGATGAAGAAAACTAATTTGCATAAATTGACATCCCATGGCATTCCAGCAAGTAAATTATAATTAGCAGAAATACAACATTCCATAGCAGTTTCAGAAGACATGTCTTTTTCTGTTTGACAAATACTGCAGAGTTAATTATTCTCCAAGAAAAGTCAAGTGTCCACTTTTCTAAACTATCCATCTCAAACATTTCTGGAAACACAGAATTAATAAAAGGATAAACTTGTTTCTAAGACAAGGTTAATGTAACATTTCCAGGAGCACTTTTGCCGGTAGACAAGTAGGCAGCAACCAGATTGGTTTGTGTGCCAGTTAAGCTTTCGCTCACAAATTCTTCAGACATAAAATAATAAAAGGAAGCTCCCCAGTTCCCAACTTCCAGTCATCCCTAGGATAAAATCAGTGTTTTCATAAAACAGTAGTTTTTGAAGTTATAACCATTACAGTCATAAAAGTGCAAAATAAGAGCCACATACCACAGAGACACATAAACATGCATGTAGGATGCAAACCAGCAGGAGTTATTCCAAGTACACGTTTCATGACAAAACATGACAACAAATGAGAAGGTATCCTAGAGTAGTGATGCATCTACCAAAAGACCATCATTCCATTAAGGACGATCAACACCAAAGAGAAACAATCTTGATCAAAGAGGTGGAATATAGAAACGGCAAGGGTGGCGAAGGCATGGAACGGGCAGCATAATGGCAAAGTCCCCTGAGCTGTCCATAAAGAATGGTGGAGAAGGGAACAGAACAATGACACCCTACACCAAACTGCAGCTACACCTACCCAACTGCAAACCCAAAGACCTCAATCCTTAGAATTACAGGGCCAAAACATTGACAGAGAAGACTAGTGATTAGTCAGGAGATACAAGAGGCACAGAAAGGCAAGTCAGAGGATACACCCAACCAAGAGAGGAAGCAAATTAGGAAAAACAAGAAAAAAAACCTCCTCTAAAACCCAATGAAAGAAAATTCGGTTACGAACAAATTAAATTAAAAAAAATATCCAAAGTACCATTAATAAAAGGAAAATAATCAGCTAGGTTGCAGTGTTGCAGGGAAGGATTCAGGAATTAAACTGAATCAGAAGCTGAATGTATGTAACAACAATGTAATGCTGTTGAAAAAAAAAAAAAAGCCACAACAAAACTGTCATTCTGATATGTTTTAAAAGGTGTGGTATATTAAACCAGGAATAGTCCACGTAATTTAGCGATGGTGATGACAAAATTGAAGTAACATGTCCAGTCTGTGTTCTACACTAAAAGTTTAGAAAATGTCTGCAGATTCCAAAACAAACAGGGCATTTAGATACCAAGACAAAGAATTTGAAGGACCTGGGTTCATTCAGTCAACAGAAAACAGGAAAACATAAGCCTGGAAACATAATACTCGAAAATAATACTATTGGCTGCTGAAATGTAGGTCATAAATAGAAAAGTAGATAAACCACTAACTCTGATTAACCAGAGAGACTGTGAAACGAATTTCACTGAAGATTATTAGGAAAACCCAGCAGTGTTTCTCTCAGTTACGCCTAGATACACTTAGCTATTTCAGAACAGAGCCAGGTAACTAGAAGACCTCCGTAATTCACCCTAGTAGTGAACTTCCTCAAATTGCCTGCAGTGTTTATAAGCCACACTAAAGTGACATCAGGACAGTGCAGAGGATCCAGGATGTCCACCAGCCAATATCATTTAGAGGGGAAAGGCTTTTTTTTTTTAACTATTTAAAAGATGACCCTAGAGACATTGAATTGCAGTCACACTCTGCCACACAGAATTCTGAGCACAGTCAATCATTCTCTGACTCATTGTCCATCTGTAAACAGAACTTCTGTGTTTCACGAAGACTAGAAATTCAGGGATGAACATGTAGCTATTCATCGAAATCACAAACAGAATAAAAAAACCTACATAATATCTGTAATATATATTAATATGTATTTATTCCTGTTTACTTAAGCAAACAGAAGTTCTATATGCATCTTTTTCAGTTCATGGTACTATATCACCACAAGGCATTTATAAATTTTTAATCTAAAATGTATACTCTACTGCATACTTCTATTTGTTACTGAACACTGTTTGAATCTGCTCATCTTTTGCTATTTTGAAGATCAGCTGTTCCTAAGTAAACCAGGTTGCATGACAGGACACTTTAAATCACAATATCTGAAAATAATTTAAGACTCAAAGTATACTAAATGAGGCACTTCAAAAAAAACCAAACCAGAAGGTGTTCACAAAAAGCTGTATTATAGGAAGGAAAAGAAAGTAATTCAAACTTCCACTCTCCAATAGCAAAAATGTAGCTATCAAATGTGGCGATGAAATATTTTAGCATATCTGAAATTAGAATTATAGATAATACTTTGATGATTAAGTATTGAAAGTAATAATAAAGCAAGACTAGGCAATAGGTTTAGAGCCTAAACATCAGAAGTTTGGTTTCCAGATACTAAAAGCATTACAAAGAAACACACATGTAAACATCTACATGTTTTTCAGAGAGCCTGACTCTTTGCAAGAGGAAGACGTGAGAGAATGATGCCAATGACAGAAAAAGTAAAACAGGAAAAAAAAAGCTGAGGAAAAAAAAGCCAGAAGAACAACTATTTACATTACAAAGATAAGAAAAATATTAATTATAACTGAAATACTGAAGTCAATAGTTGATGCAATTGTTTAGAAAGTAATGGTAAGTATTCATTTACATGAAGTTCCCTGTCAAAAATCAACAAACAGATGGACCTGGAGACTTTAACTAATAACAGTTTCACAGAGCTCAAAATAATGTGACGGGCTAAAATAAATTGCTTTAGGCAATGCATTATTTTATTTTAGAAGGCATTTAAGTGGGACAATATTTGAAAGGCTATTTTTGATTGGTAATAAAGAAGCATTGACTTTAAATATTTCAAATTTACACACTGATCTTTAAAAAAGTGTCGCTTAACCCCAAGACCTGATAGATTGTATCCTTAAACACCCATTTAAGGAAAGAACTGTTGTACTAAAATCGGTGACATACAATGAAAAAAGCATTGCTACTACAGTTGGAAGTATGTCTTCTGACTCATTTAAGTAGTAAGTTAGTACAAAACATACACCAAACTTATGGATATTGTCTTCGTATGCCAAAACTCAGAACACATACTTTAAGATGAAAGTAGGTTTATATTTATTTCCTCCTTGCCACTTCTTTGCCTCAGACACGAGCGTTTTGCTAATAACAGAATTACTGCAGTTAAACCACTTGTCGCAAAAAAGCATTCACAAGTGTGTACTAACTCCCAAAAGCATCTGCCTCACTTTTTCTATGGGTTCACTTACACTGTAATAAAAGACATTCAAACTGTTATCTGAAAAGTGTGGTGGGTGAATTGGATTTTTAAAATAGATTTTTAAATATTATTGTGTTTTATTTTTAAGTCTGGGACAGCAACTGAATTACTCGAAAACAAGTTTGAAAAATTTAACTTGCAAAGTCAGCATTGCAAATAAATCAGAATCTCCCCCATTCTAGGTCACTACCTGAGAAAACGACAGGGATATAACACGCTGGAAAGTAATCCTAGAAAGCAATGACTTGGAATTTGAATGGACAAACTAGTTCAGTCAGTTTCAGCAGTCTGCTGTGAAAAAATGGATAAATCTTTGACTGCATGCATTATACTATAATGCTGTCTTTCCTTCTATATACAGTAGTGGCAAGACTGATGCCAGAACCAGAACTTGCTGCATCACTATACATTTGAAGGGATGTCGCAAACTGAAAGTCAAAACCTTGGCTTCAGGGCCTATGAGACATCTTACACTGAGATTTGCCTGTTTGACTAAATAAGATGATGACTAAGAAACTAATGAAATAACATTGCCTTCAAAGGGGAACAACATCAAGTAACTAAAATGCTTCTAAAAATAGATAGGCATTACCAAAACAAAAGGTAACAGTTTGTCCAGCCTCATCTTCCAAGTAGAAATAAGACTGAGTTTTAAAAATAAAGGTGACTAACTCCTTGATACTAATTTCCAGGAAGAAATGCTTTCTAATTCTTGGTACCTTCAAAACCAAGACTGGATGATTTTCCTGGAATATGTACCAATATTTTGATCTCTGTAGACCTTCATATTCCCTTTGCTCACCAAGGTGTTTAAGTACAACACATTCATTGTCTCAATGACACAAAATGGTCAAACAATATGATCTAGTGGCACTTCTTGGCCGTACAGTGAAAGACTTACAATATGCAACCACAGAATTGCCTGTGCCACAGTGCAGAAACCAAGATGGTCAATTTCCCATTTCAAGGCAGATGTGCATTACTTGGTTCATTATTCTTTTTCCTACCCAAGTTCTCCCCCTCTTTCAATTTCTTCTTTTGAAACACGTAGGCTCCAGGAGCTTCTGACTTGGCATGTCTTGTTTCACATCAAACTAGTAACCTACTTAATTTTATTATCTACGTTAAAATTAAAATAAATAAAAAGTTGGGCCTGTACAAAAGTGGTTTTTTTCATTCTACTAATGCAAGCCACATCAGCAACAACCTCTACAAACCTCAGCCAGAAAAACTAAATATACCAATTGATCATTTTTACAAGTACATCAAAGAAATTCATTTAACTTGAGCCTAAAAGTTTAAAGCTCCTGATCAGAAACAAACAGGAAAAAAAATAAATTTAGATGTGAAAGCAAATTTAATTCAGCCATAAAGATATTCAGAATCTTAGCCTTTCCTATTCAAAAAAGAAAATATTCTCTTCTTTTAGTTTTGAAATAAAAACAAAACCTGAAACAAACGTAACTATAATTGTATTTTTGGCAACTACAACACCATATATATATAAATGAAAGTTTCAGCATACAATACACTGTCATCTAAACATCAGCATTTGATCATCACAATCACCCCACAACCACACCATCTTCGTAGGTATTGCAACTCTTCTGTACTATCATAAACAAATATTCCTTTATTTCTAAATGCTTTTGTTAGCATCTTACCCCACTCTGTTCCATCTCCTGAACTTCGAGCTTCTCCAGCCCCCTCACCATCTTCAGCTGTCACTAAAAAATCAAATTCTTTCAAAGCTTCTTCAGTATCGGGGTCATCTGTAAGGTCAGCAGCTAAACCTTCATTACCAATCTGCAAGCAGATAAACATTTTTCTGCATTTGAAACATGAACACATTTTTCTACTCAAATACTTAGGTTAGATTACTCTGACTACTTGGTTGCAGAGGAAAACAATATTTCAACATGAAATGCAGAAAAAGATGCTTAGATAGTCAGATCTAGAACTGCTTATAAAAAAAAAAAAAGAAAAGAGCAGTGCAGTCTAGTGATCATCAGGAAACAACAAGATTACTGACACTAGGTTTGGCAACAAAAACAATCCCATACATCCCAGTCTTCATTTTTTATTTAAACCATACTGATTGAAAAATTTTGTTGATTTTCTTGCAATATCAATAGCTCTGCGGAGAAGCTTTACAAACAAACTGTTTTCTACTGGTCAAGAAGCCTTTATTCCTTTTTGCTTTCCAGTTCTATTTGAGGGTTAAGCATAAGCTTGGAAAACACAGTATTCTTACACTCTGGCAGAAGACGACAACTTTTATAAAGAAAACTATAAATGACCCTTCCTTTTTCAAGAGTCAAAAAATAAGTATAATGTCTTTATATGTGCTTGGAGATTTAGTTATTAAATAATCTTTTTATCAGGCTATATAGTGCCTTAGAACAAAAAAGATTCAACTGATTGCTTGATTAATCTATTTACCAAAAGTATAAGTTAGTATCAAAGGTATGGTGGAAAACCCTTCCTGACAAGCCAAGCTGGGAGATAAAGACTTGCATCAAGCTGAACTAAAGCTGCTAGCTATTTAAGAAAATTCAATGCAGCCAGAGGAGCCATCGTGCTACAGAATACTGAGCAAAAAGTAATAAAACTGTCAGTACAACGTTCATAAATGAATCTCTTTACATAAAGAAACCCCAATGACATGGAGACTCTTGCAATACAGGAGGAAAAGAACCAAAAAGGAACAGAAAATATAGTCTATTCTACCTAGAAAGCCACTCACAGAATGGAAAACTAAAGCGAAAAATAGAACAGAACAAAACTTAATTGAACCTTAAACAGAAGGTTGCTGGAGACAAGTCTTTGCTAGGCTCTTAACATATTTGTAAAAAGCTGCATAAAAGGAAGAATTAAACACGTATTGCGTACGGAACTGATTTTTCTTTTTTCCTACTACATAATTCAGCTTCTTATAAGGAATTGTCCCTGTCTTCTCCAAAACTCAGGAAGGATGCACATTGTATTCTGCTAGATTTGCCTCCTAAAGGGACCCAAAGTACACAGAGAAGTGGAGACAGCCAAATCAGCGGTTTCTTTCAGCAATTACGTCACATTTGCAAACAAGTTTGTTGTTTGTTTTTAAGTTTGTAAGATAACATATTAACTAAACCAGCACATTTACCAAGAATGCATCTGCTCACAATCCATTCAGATAACGAACGTACAACAAACATGTTAACACGACACACTTATAATCATACGGAAAAAAAAAATTTCCTTTTTTAAAGGGGATGTCAGATCTATATTAAAAAAAAATTTAAAAAGTCTTTTACTTTGTGTTTCTTATTTATCCGGTGCTTTTCTTTCCCTTCTGCAATATCTTCTATCATGTCACTCTCCTCTTCTTCATCACTATCATCTGCGTTTTCTAAGAAGTTAAATGTTTCAAGAACATCACCAGAATTCCTACATAAATAAAAACATTAACATAGAATCTGTTTCACTTGCTGAAGAGATTTTAGAAGATTAATCAGATTAAATGCAATTGCTACCTAACAGCTTAAGATTTTTAAAACTAGCAAAACAACAAGAACTATTTGTATGAAGAAGTTTCTACAGCTGCCTAATTCCTTATTACAAAAGCAAGACCCAACAGAATTTTCCCTTAAAATAACAACTCCAAAGTGGTTATATGGCAAAATTCAGCTTCAATACACTATGTATTTTCCTGTATATAATATATATGTACAATATACATATACGTATCTAATATAGATATATATGTTCCTATGTCTAATCAATTTCAGTTATGTTCCTAATTATTTGTAGTCAGCTACACTTACAGGTGTTCAGAGACTCTAGAGCTGAAAGTTCAATGTGGACTGACCGGTACATATCAATGACTAAGTGAAACACACTCAAACTTTATGCATTTCTTATCTCTTCACTTACCTTTTCATTTCCTGTCCCTTTTGTTTTGATGAAGGAGATTCACCCCCATTGAGGATCTGTTCTAAGTTCTTTGTCTCTACTGAACCATTTGGTTCTGAATTGGAGAGCCCAAGCAAAGACCTTACCCGCTGGGAACGTACATCCAATATTGTATCTGTATAACCTACTTCCTGAAGATACCTACATGCATCAAGAGAAGAAAGGCAAAAGCATATTTGAGGGAAAAGGAAATAAATTAGTATTGACTGTTAAAAATTCATGCCACTATTCAATCATTTATGGAAAATATGCTTCATCGCTATCAATCTCATACGGAAAACCTTACTCTACACTACTTAAAGCTCAAGACTATGAAGTCCTGAAATATGAACCACTGTTTGCCTACTTCAATTACTCCCTTTCCTAGAGTAAACATATATACAGCTCCTCATACTTCAGCGAAAAGTTTGAATACACCAATATTCAGCGATGTTACTTACTGTCTTAGTAACTGTCTGCCTTGCTTCCAGGTCAATTGGTTGTTCTGAGGTACTGCAGGAACCTCCGTATCTTTGGTTTCTTCTGAAAGATACAGCATCATAGTTGGGTGGGGTTTTTTGTTCTGATTATTTATTTTTTACAAGACACCAATGAAACTAAAAGCAAATCTTACAAAAAAAGCTTTAAATTAAATGCAGTCTTATATAGTGTTTTTTAATTAAAGAATATTTTTTTCCTAAATCATTGCTGGAGCATCAAGCAAAGAATTTAACAGAACAGAATCAATTAAAAAATCCTGATCCCTTACATGCAGAAAAGGAACTAGAAAAATATTTAACTTGTACACAAAAGAAAACCATGTCCTGATTAGCTCAAGTGTTACTGCTAAGAAAACAGGCTGTATCTCTTTCACAAAGAGGTGCTTAGAAAGCAACATGGAAAATACAGTTAAAATAAGAGCAGCAGTTACATATACTAGCATTTGGAGAAAACAAACATGTCAAGTTTAATACAAATTCCATCAGTTTACTATCAATAACTAAATATAGACCCACTGCACTTTTACTATGGTAGAGACTAAAACGTGGTACAAACTAACAGTTTAGTGATTTTAACATCTAATTTGTAGTGCTTTTAAACACATGTTGAAAACCCCATCACAAAAGACATATGAATAATGATCTCTGTTTTCAACCACGTACAAAAGTACCCAAAATGTGGCACTTCTAAAGCAGAAAACAAACAAACCAACCCAAAAACTGGGGGGTGTAGTTCTGAAGACCACAATTTTAAGGCACATTACACAAATACAGGCCAACAGTGTGACTCCCGAAAGGCCTACATTTCAAGAGAAGCCACGCACAATTCTGCTTATTAAACAGTCCAATGTTGTTATGAAAAATGCTTTCCTCTATCTGCAATATTGTGAAGAGCAAAACTGTTATGATCAATTTTATATCTACATTGCAAAATCAGATGCACTCCAAAGTACCAATAACGATAGCCTAATTCTTATCTTAGGACTTTTTTCATTGATTTAAAATAAAACTGGAAGCTCTACAACGTTTTTTCCAGGCCAATTAAGTAATTTTTTTTTCCATTCTTTAAAAATTAGCATCCTATAAAAGCACTGAAATACAACAGTATTTCTTATGTTTATTCTGCATTTTTGCTTTACTTCTGGATGGACGGCACCATGGCAAAAAATATTAAATCCTTCAGGAAGGAGTATTATAAGAAATAATGAGAAGCAGCAGCTAAATAAGGAATTGTGTAACTTTATTTAAAGCTTTCTTCAACATTGAGAGCTCTTTCAAAAAAAGGTCAATTAATTTTGATTTTCAGATTAAACAATATTTACCCAATACCGAACCTTTCCTAGACATCTTCTCTGTAACACATCTAAACGGGACTGGGGGGAAGAATAAAAGTTGCAATAAATCGAACCAGAGCAAATCTAGAACAGTGTATAAACAAATTATAGTAAAACAGGGTACTGTAAAAAAGTTACCTGATTCAAAAGTTGGCATTTTCAAGTCACCTTGGTTCAATTCTGTGCCATATTTTAATTTATGGTATTTTGCCCTGAAAAAGTATGTAAATATTTAACAAATTAGCATACAATGCTTTTATCAACTCAAAACATTCTACTATTCCCATTTAAAACAACCATACTAACATAATACAATTTATCCAAATAAAACTGTTGTGATAATTATTGCATCATACAATTATTTCTAGTCTGTCAAGAAGACAGTTTTACGACAACCTTCTTGCAATTATTGACAACTATCAAAATAACTTATAGAACAATTCCATATGTTCTCCAGGAATGAGAGTTTTTTTCATGTGTGTCAGCTACTAAAGGAACTTTTCAAAAACCAGCAGATTCAACTAAATATAGCTGAGGTTATTTTTTCAGTTGTAGCACTGTCATAGCTAGTCAATCACACTATCATGAACCTCACATTTGTGATTCCTGCCTATTTGCTGCCTTCAATTTGCACTTCAGTTCTCACCTGCTCTCTGTCTTGGCTTATGATAGAGACCTTTCCCTCTGAAGAACCATGTTAGACTTCCAGATTCCCTCATCACATGTATTCTCTTACTGATTTTCTCTTCCTCACTGACTGGAGGCTTAGCTTTCAATTCCTGCTCAGTCCACATATGCAAACATGCCTCACTCCTTCCATCTCCTGATCTCTGACCCCCTAACCTCACCTCCTCCATCACTTTTTTAAAAAATCCATCTTGGCCATACTATTTCCATGCAGGTATGCATGAGCCTGCCAAATCTTATTCTCTACCCAAGCTGCCTATTAAAATGTCTTCAGCTCCCTTTACCTCCAGGAATATCACATGACATAGCTACGCCTATAACCTGAAATTCTCTAACTCTATCCTAGACCTTTTACAATTTGATTTTTGCCTCACAGATCCTCTGCAAAAATACTCAAAATCTCAGTGAAAAGAACTCTACATGTTCTGCCAAGGTGAAAGGTCTGAAAAAAATTTTTTAGCCATATTTTAATGAAGTCTTGCTAAACTACAGCTGTCTTCATAACTCTAAATCAAACATTTGAGCAAAGTTTTAAGAATAACTGAACCATATTTAGCTCCCCCCAATTTTAAAGACTACTCTCAAATATGAAACTTCGAGAAAAAATACCCAATAAAACACTTGCTGGACAAAACCAGGGATTTCCAATACATCTTCTCCTCAAATGGCTGAGCCACTGCTGCAATTTTTCCAAATTGAAGGTAAAAGCTCATCTCAAATGCTGCCTGACATTTGATGGTAGAGAAGATTTCCTTCTAAATTACAGAAGTTTCTACTAAAATTGCAATTAGGAACAGTCTCATTAACAAACTGTCAGTAGATGGCACTACTGACCCTTCAGTAAGATAAAATCCTGCGTTTCATAGCAATTACATTGTAACTGAAAAACTGCAAGGCTCCTAGAAACTAAGTATATGAATCTGACTGCCAACTAATAGAATGACAATTTTTTTAAATTATTTTTTAATATGTTCATATTTCATCCATGCACTAGTAAGACTGCCTACCCTAGGTGGTCTCTTTAAACTGAGACACAAAGCTTCGTTCCACACTAATAGGGCAGTGTTCCACCACGCTTTCCAGATAAAGTGTACATACTATGATTTTTATGCCCCATGAAGTACTGTACACTTGGAGGTAAAAAAATAAAAATTTAAGAAATTGTGAACTTAAATAAAGCTGACAATGTTTTTGTTCCATTCATAAGTGAAGCAAATAAAGCACCATAATTGAAAAGCCAACCTAAATTTGTTCAGTTTAGAGCTGTGGCAAATACTATTTAGCTGCAGTTGTTCCATTTTGGAGCTACCATTTCAAAACATTAATTCAAATTCTGATTTAATTGTTCATTAGAGAATATAATGAGGTATCTGATCTAAAATTATTCCAATGACTAGCCACTAAAAATAAGCCAAAATACTGTTGCATGTAATGAGATCAGTTAAGTCTTGCATATCCATCTGATGCTTAACTTCAACTTTAGAGTAAGCAATTAATCTTATTAAATTCCAGTAAACTACATATTTGCACACATATTCCTCTCCATATTGTCACACAACCAAGGGTAATTATTACATATCTTCAAAATCACTAACAAGCTACAGTGTTGTTGACAAGTCAGTGACATTACTCCACCACACAGTAACTGAATTATGCAAGAGGCATCTTTTGAATCCTTGGAGTATTGACTTGCTATTCTTCTAAGGATAGGTTTTCATGAGTGAAAAAGTAAGAGGAGGAGAAACGATGCCCTAAGTTGATTTACATGCTTACTACTATTTAACTGTTGAATCCTACCACTTGATTGAAAGGATATAAGCCAACTCCAGTCCAAACTCCATGAAGTCAAAATATAGCCACAGTTTTCTAACCTCAGCAAGTCTTATTAATTTAAGCACAGCGCTATGCTAATGAAGATTGGAGTGACTCTGAGTAGAAAAGAGAAGTCCGGCTGGGTCTGCAAAGCACCATGAAGGAATACCCATTAGCTACAAACAAAAAATCCCCCACATATAACCACTTAAGGTCTAATTTAATTACAAAACTTCATACAGAACTACCAAAATATTTAAGGACATTATAGTAATAATGTTTTAGAGAGGTAAAATGTTGTTTATCACACCTGTCACACACACAGAGATAAATATTCGAAATATCAAACTATTTTGTAACTAATAATGCATTTTATTTAATCTTACACACTGATGTCCTGTTTTGTACCCTTTTTCTGAGAAAGCACGAAAGTCGTCATTGTCTGAATGAGTTTGTTTCTGATTCCCTATAATCTGCTGTTTCACTGCATTAAACTTTTTGACAGCATCAAGGAGTTTGCAACAAGAGGAGGAGAAAACGGGCGGGGGGAATCAGGTGCAACACTGAAAATTGCTGTCAACTATCTTCAGATCCGAAATTCTCAGAATTTATTTTGCCATGGGTCTGGTTTATTTTCATTAGTTGTGATTCTTCACTCAGAGGAACGACGGCAAAAAAATACCATCTATTATCCTGAACTCTTCATTCAGTAGAACCACCAGGAAACCAACATACTATCAGTCTTGGATGATCTACTGACAAGTCAGTACCTGCACGCTTCCTTACTCAACCCATCCCACTTCCGCAATTAGATCCCCTCAAACTACTGGGCATTCGCAGCAAAAAATAACAGAAAGCTTCCTCATTGCCTCGCACACATTCACCAATCAACCCCAGGGTTTCAGTTCCTGTTTTTAGCAATCTTCGTGACAGTTCTGGCTGGGACTTAAGCAAGGATTTTGCTCTTGAAAAGTATGCAGTGTTGGCTTCTACCCACTAGCCGCAAGAACTAAGCAAACTATGTTTTTGCTGTTCTGCTTCTATTGTACATACAATTACAAGTTTCTTGCCTATCAGATGAATTTTGGAATTTCATGGGAAGGCAGGCTACAAAGGCAGCCGCATTTCAGGAGAAAGCAGCAATGAGATTTTACCAGTGCCAATCCCCTTCACATTCTGCCTTCTCTTACATGCCATCTTCACACTCCAGCTGTCCTTACCTGACTCTGATCTATCTCAATAAATAGGCAATCCTCACAGCCTTATGGTGCACATCTGCATACAGTATCTATGTGCAGCACACAGAGTTTATTGTTACCAAAACAACCAAAATGTTTTCCTTCAACTTTCAACAATTCATTACACCCAAGACACTTGGGTCTCCCGTAACAGCACATTATTCCTTTGATATGTTCAATGTTCTTTAAAGGAAGAGCACCCCAACACTTAGCATACTTTTCACCTGCCTTGAATCCAGACTGACTTGCACATTACCTGCATGATATAACAACTTAACTTTCAGTCTTACACCAGTTGGAAACCTTGAGTTACTCCCCACTTTGAGGACAGGGCTGAATGAAGAAATAAATAATTTCTGTCTGTTGTTTCACTAGAAAACACATGATGTGCCAATACAGCTTTCTGTATGAACATACGCTGTTTTCTGAGGCACCTTTATACTGGACATTCCACACAGAGGTATGTGGCCATCCTTGCCAAGATATTAGCTTTTAATATGAAACCAACTAATCAAAAGTTATTTCTGCACTAGTCACTCATAGCACTAATTCATAATGTAAAATATATTCAGGTGTACTTACTCTTGGACACGTAACTTAATGTCAAGGTGAAGCCTCACTATACACTTCGCTTCAAAATTTTAGGTTTGCTCTGGCAGGAATGTTCTCCTCAAATCAAAATAAACAAATAAAGGCTACCTATTTTGTTGCCTGATCCTCAAGATGTTTACACTGTTGGATTCAGCTACTTTTTAACAGCAAAGTAAAATTAAATGTAAGAATTGAGTCCACTACTGAAACTACAGGTACATGACAAGATTATTTTCCCAGAGTTTTTGAAAAATTAACTACTAATTTTGGTCAAATGAAATAGCCAGGCAACAGAAGGGCATGTAGGTTTGAAGGGCATTAGCCTGCACAGACCGAGTGGAATTTTAATTTTTTAAGCATTAAATTAACGCTACAGAAAATGCACCTACTGAGGCCAGAAATTCTACCATCTACCACATGAAAAAACAATACTTTAGAATGTAATACTAAATTTTAGAGGATTCCGTTCTGCCACAAAATATGGTTTTCATCATGCAACACAAAAATAGTTGTAGGGAATCAAAGGAACAATATTCTTCATCCTTTCAAGTTTAATACCACTGAAGAGCAGATAAAGGCATAGTAATAAGGTATAAATGTTTTTGGAACATTTATTCTTGTTTAGTATACAATTACTCTAACTCGGAAAGGGCAACCGCCCAATTTGAACTTTATGTGTTTAAGACACAAGTTCAATTTGAAAATTATGCAACTATTTATCATAGCAGACACTAAAGTTTATCAGAAAACATAGTGTAAAGATGACCAACCATAAAGACAGTTTGCATAAAGTAACTGTAGTATCATCTAGTAAAGACAGTTTACATGAAGTGATGGAACTCCTTTCAGTCTGTAAAGTCTTCCCGGTCAGATAAAGGCTGAGCAATTTGTATACCTACCTTTCTTGTTTTAATGCATATTCTAACATTTTTATTCTTCTCACTAAATCTTTCTTCAAATTTTCTTGACCCTTTCTTTCCCCTTGTAAAAACGCTATCCGAGCCTGAAAACACAAAAAAACAAAAGATAACGGATTTTCGTCCACTCTGTTCCCAAAACAAAGTAATGAAGTCTGGCTAGGAAGGAAAAGAAAACAAAGAAAAAAAAAGACTCTGCTTTATATAAATCACTTCGTCCAGTCATTAACAACAAAAATATTTCTGCCCTAGAGACCGAGTATTATTTTCTGTTCACAAATTTTGGGGGTTTTGCCTTGAAATAAAGGTATTTAAGTTAGTATAGTAACTATAGGATGTGGCACAAACAGCAATCATAAGAAACATTTTAATATATGCACACATTTTTGTCCTTATGGTATCGCTAACATAAATTGCTATACATTTTCTTCCAAACCCCAGGCTATATCAAACTAGGTACAGAGCGTACTTTTAAGCAATTTAGTAATGTCAGCATATTGAACAGATTAAGAAATGGATACATGGACTCAAATACAGAATTTACAAATTCATTATACAGGAAACAACTATATTTTATGGATTCACATTGTACTTACTACTGAAGACAGCTGAAGGTTAGAATATCACAGAAGAATTTGTTTTAGTGTGCTGTTCTATACGGAGAAAAATAATGCCTTTTTTTTTTTAAAAAAAAGCATCAATCATACTACCCACCTAACTTACAAACAAACAATAAAAGCTTCCTACTTGCCTGCGAACCTAGTAGACAGCTTGTATGTTCTACTGAATATATTGTTATCTCAACTAGTGCAAAAGGTGTAGTTGAAAACTTTGAAGTAGTTGAAAATTAAAGGTAGTAAGTTTGTTGAGAAAAAAGTAGTCTCTCTACTGCAAAGTGAAAGGGCTTGTATTTTGTCTTTTGCAAGCCAAAATCCTACGGAAGAAAAGGGAATTTGCAGAAGTGAATACAAAATTTAAACAGTTAATTATATTACTGGATTGGCCATTGTTATAGGAAACCACACACTCATTTGTCCTCATTATGACTTTAAACTGACTGAAGTCATTGGGTGGCTAATTCAAGACAAGATTCAATATAAAATTTTCTTGGAAGAGGGATTAATAAAATAGAGTAAGGAGAGTAAAGTAGAGACCACATTGCTCTACAGAGCTTAAGATCAACAACACAACTTCATTATTAAAGGAGGCACAACAACAAAAAAGCAGAGCTATGATTGGCACCGAACCTATCTTTGAAGTTGGTTTTTTTTTTTTAAAGGGAGTGGTTGTACATTTTCGTTACTCAGTGGTTAAAGCTTGAAACAGTCTAACCAGGAGGATAGCATTCTTGCATTGCTCCTTTCTCAAGGCTAAGAGATATCACCATAAAAATCTTTTACACATCAGCCCTGATTTTAGTCCCTCTAGCCTTGTGCTCAATGGTAAACCAGATTAAAACATGTTCTTTTTCCTTGCATCAGCTAATGATTTAATCAATTATAATTTAAAATCCTAGTGAGAACAAGGCAGTTACGAGTATTTCAAAGTCTGGCATGAAAGCACTCTCAATTAACCTCTATCACTTGGTGAGAAAGAGTAATGCAGCAAACAGTGCATGGTAATAGAGAAGAGAAAAACCCAACGGACTTCGTAATGCTTGCACAGATATTTCAAGACAAAAGGTAGAGACCGAGATCAAGAATCAGCTATTTTAAACCCCAGGCTCCCAATGGAAGGAGGAGTTGAGCAAACCCAACAACTATACTCAACTGCAACTATGTACTTAATTTTAAAAAATACTATAAAACTGACTCTAATCCAACAGAAAGTTAACAGCCTTCTGGAGAAAACGACAACTGTGCATAATTTGCTCTCCTCTAGTATCTAAGGCAGCAAACGACCAGACAACTTCACAAACCCAAATTGTTGTCCCCATTTTCACTAGTCAAGGATAAGGTAACAAAAAAAATACAGTGTCCTTACACATAAATACATTAGTACACATAAACTAGTTATAAAAGTAGTTTTTTTAAAAGAAGTAGTATGTTACACGCACATATGCACAACACCATGCTTCAAACACTTCGAAGTTACTGCATGCACGCAGATTCTTTTTAAAAAAATAAAGCCAGAACTAAATACTTTAATAATTATCATCTAATGAAGATTATGAAAGTTTTTATGGTCTTTGACTTGAATGCAGTTCTCAACTCCTTCCAGTACTCAGGACTTCTGTAAGTGACAGTCTTCTCCCCTTCTATTCATCTTCTTTCATTGGCCAGCACCCTTTAATAGCTATTTGACAAATCTTAGGTGCCAGCCGCAGCTGTTGGGCCTTATTTCATCCTCAGTTTGCTGATAACAGAGAAGAAAATAATATAGCTGTAATCATACACAGAGGGAGGCATCTGCCTCCTAAATGCTCCCAACCAAACTATTTCCTTCTTCTGGAAATACTTCTGGAGTACTTGGCCAAGCAGAATCAAGTCTCCACATTTACTAGGTATTGCCTAGATCTCATACTTATCAACCAGACAGGTTAATGAGCTAAATGATCTTGAGAATCAATATACTGCAGAAATGATATTACAAAAATAAAACCAAACAAAATCCAAAAATACATCCTACAACAAAGCCCTCAAAAAACTCTTCTACATGTAACAGTATTAATAACAATCTTCATAAGATCCAAAAGGTTGACCAGAAAGGTTGCCACACAACACACTTTGTAGTTGAGTTTTTGACATTTTTGTCAATATTTAGCAGACTACTTTCAGCATCACTTCCTGTAACTGCTTGTATATACATTTGACTGATTTTAGGGATTTTCTTTTTTTCTCCAATGTAACCATTACATGGCTAAAACTTCACAGAATTTATCTACGCAGAAGTTCCAGGTCTTAATCTTTGGAAACACGGAAAATCAATTTAGTCTTTTGGAACAGTCATCAAGACTCTCAAAACAAAACCAAGAATAAGATCACTGCAGATATACTGTATAAATTACACTAATCAATTTGCTTCCTTAAGTCTTGAATCGAGAGATGAGACGTGTTAAAACTATCACCTGATGTCTTGCGTAACCATGAGCCCCAAGAATCAACACACAATATCCCAACACTGGCTTTTTTGAAAAGGAGTAAATCTCAGGTTTGATAAAAGCAGATAAAGTAAATAGATCAGTCTCCCTCAGGGCTGTTGTGCTAACTTAGGTTCCATATAAGAAATGCTCTCTACATAATACAACTTTCTCAATCCTTAGATATTCCTTTCCTTTGAAATAACTCTCAGGAGAGCTGCATTCGACACAATTTATAACTATACTCATGATTAAAGATTGACTGGCACTAAAATTGGGAAACAAAATGGCACAGAACAATTTGGTACTCACCTTCCCTCCCTTCCTCCCAGTTACAACAGAATTCTTTCCATTGTCTTTAGCCAATTTTTAAGTCCCCAGGCTGATACTAAGAGGAGCAATCCTCCTCCTCCCTCCTCCTATTGTTCCCTCTATGGTGCTGACTTAGCTGCTTCTGCTGCCACACATTAAGTCTGCTGAGGAAACTATTCTATTTATTTTTTACTCAGTTCTGAATTACATCAGTTTCCTGAACCTATTCTGTATAGCCATGGGAGTACTCAGGCTGGCACAAGGGATGCAAACAGGATACTGAAGTAACAGCTCCTGTCAGTGACAACACGGCCTTAGATCAGCCTAAACTCACCATGATATCACAACCTTGTCCATGGTATAAGAGTTGCAAAAACAAGAGTAGAGATACAAAGAAAATCAAATACAAGTCTTAACTCTTTTGAATTACAAATTCAATCAAAATGTATTTTTAAAAGTGTATTAGCAAGATCATTTCTTAAGGGGGAGAAAAGATGTTATTTTACAGAACACGTGCAAAATAGTGGTTCTGTAAGCAAAAACAGGGCCTCCCATGGATTTAAAAAAATCCAGCTGAATTTAGCTGTATACAGACTCTGTTAGAATATTTTTCCCCACAGATTGAGCTATGCTTCAGATTCTTCAAACAAGCTGAACCAGGAGCATCTTTTACAGGGCAGATTCCTCCTCTTCTACCAGCCTGTCCATTTTCATATTTACCGTATTTTCACAGATCTCTGTGATGCACTAGCTTTCTACAAAATTCGGTGACACTTGATAACTCTGGGCTCTCTCTACAACTTGGCCCTCAGCTGTAAATAATGAGTACCACCACATGAACTTGCCTAGTTTTATTCTGGCAGTGAATTCAGGGACCTCCGAGAAGCAGTTTGAGTGACAGATACTTTGTATCTGTGCAAGGATGCATGAAATAATGTCTGGAACTAGGCAAGATACAACACAAGGATAAAAAGAATTACTGAAGAGCTACTTGAATAGTATGGATCTCACGAAAAAGAATTGTGAGGTTGAATAACGACAGAATGTACATACAGAAGTGGACAAATGAAAATTCTAACATCTAATATTCTAGACTTTGTAAACTTAATATTGTTTTAATGGTGTGTTGCATTTTAGACATACATGCATTAGATTTTGTAGTTGGAATGGTTTTTGTCTTTTAAATAGGAAGTCTGACCACGTGCAAACCAGGTAATAGTCTGTCACCCAAACTCCAAGATATCAAAAAAAATCCTGAAGCTTTCCTTGAACGGTAAGAATAAGTAAATCACTTATTACACTGACACTCCACATCCCCAGTATGCAATTACACTGCTTGATTAAAGTGTAACAGAAAGTTTAAAGTAGTTTACCAGAGAACTTCCACATAACTAAATTTTAAAAAATACTGCACTTCACATAGAAGTTTAAAATTTAAAGAAAAAAAAATGTCTTCTGGGAAGAAAATGAGGATTTCCCCCCCCCCCCTCCTTTTTAAATA